CTCAACCCCCCTCTCCTATAAGCATGACTAATTTGCTTGTAATTATGAACGTAATTGCTCGCATGTCTACCTTGTACCTTTTACCCTCGTCCCATATAAATGTAATGGCCGGAGGAGCATTTATCGAAAGCCTACGTATGCTCGCTAAATACTCTTCTGAATTCCTTATTTAATAACAGTGACTGTTTCAGGTTGAAAAAGCGTACTGTGGATAACTCTGAGAGGGTCACTTGGATACTTACCTGCAGTTCCCTTTCCAAAGACCTCACACAAGAAAGATTCAGAAGGTTTTTGTAACATTCCTGACTATACTGCAGGAACTCGAGTGTCAAGAGGGTTCTTAAAGGCCGTATAAACGGACGTGGGACAGTTTTGAAAGCAAAATTATATCGCTTAAGATCATAAAAGAGGATAACCAAACTCGTGACCGTCAGATGGGAATGCCAGTTTATAATGCGGACTTTTGATAAAGAGAAAATCAAATTGCAGATGAAAAGAGGGACACGAGGTCCGTGGGACAAACATTTTATTCGTCAGACATTTAAATTCAGTCCGAAACCCATCATCAGATAGATGGCAATGGGTGCACGAGAGCTATATTAGTTCAAGGAAATGTTCAAAGGTTAATTCCTGCAAAGCATGTTTTTTGGCAACTGAAAGGATATTTTTGGGCGAGACTAGACACCCGTTAACATCAGATCTTTTTTGCTATTAATAACTCACGCAGATTGGGTCTGTGTGTGAGACAAGTATCCACGGCTGAGACAGCGCTTCGCACGAGAAACAATGACCACAGAGCTGACATAAACTGCGCAATACCAACGAGGTAGATCTGGGAGGAAACATAAAACGAGAAACGTAGCAGGACGTTCACTCACTTGCTGAAGGAAGAGGAACCCGCTTCTCTACGATGCTCATGAGTTGATTCAGACTGACGTGCTCCAGCGCCCATTCATCTAAAAGTAAAGAATGCTTCTGATACAAGACAACAAATTTTCAAAGGCAATAAGGGCCAGAGTTCGATAAAATCAAGTGCCATGCAAGTTAACGCTGGACCAAATCTCAAATAAGCGGATAAACAATTACGCTTAAAGTTTTGACAGAACCTTCTGTCAACCTCTGACCCAAAACTAGAATGAACTCGCCTACAAGAATATCGAAGGCCGATGTATCCGACAGAAATGAAGATAACAGGAAGCCCTTGGTTATTATTTCAAACTTTTGCTTTAGTTTTTGATAAAAATGTTTTGCTTCTAAGCAGTAAGCGACGGCAACAGTAGTTTATGTGGTGCACCTCATTGATCCCTAGTTCCAGAAGTTTGTCCTACGAAAACGGTGGTTATAGGGTTTTGTGGGTGGTGAATTAGGATAGGCAGTGGAATATACTTAAATAACTGCTAGATGCATTTTTATTCTATTGTTTTTAGAGATATTGTTGATTTACAAGTGTAGCTTTTCCTTATCTGTATTATCGTTTAACGTATTGCAGAAAAACCCGATTATCAAATTGCAGGTTTCTTGAAATTCGGGAAAAATAGAAATGGAAGTAAGGAGGTCGTCTACTTCAACTCACCTGCGGTCCAACTTACCGTTCTGGAGTTAGATAAGCATAGCCCGCGGCGCGAAACGCCGTGCACACCTTCAATTTGCATACAGAACAACTTATTCCCAGCGGCCGCGGAAAACAAATTCGACTACATTTTTTCACTTTACACTTCTTAAAAATCCCTTCCCTGCCTATCCTATTTCTCCGCCCCCAAGAACCCTATAATCGCCGTTTCCGTTGAACAAAGTGCTGGGACTAGGAGTATATGTGGTGCACTACATAAACTTCTTTTGCCGTAAGCGACTTATCTTAGAAAATAGTAAAAGGGATTTCGGTATGTTACAAAACGTAACTCAGGCTCTGTTGTAATACGGGTTACTATTCAGTACGATCGGGGAAGCCGGTCTCTGAATGTGCGTCTTTCCGAACTAATAGGACATACTATTTCAAACTGATTGTCAGTGCCCTATAAATTCAAATGTCTTTTATAGAAAACGTGGACAAGGCTATACTTTTTGTGCCCTTTTTGGAAAAATTTAGGTTTTTATTAATGTTACTTGTCAAGTAAAGCTTCAATTTCCTTTTAAAAAGGTGTGTGATAATGAGTGTTTTAAGGTAGTGAAATGTCTGTTTAAATAGCACTGACAATGGAAATGTATTACTGTTCTTTATAAAGTGCATGATGTGGACCGCATCGATATCGAAATTTCTTTGCAGTTTCTTACAGCTGAGATGCACTTTGTTCAAAATTTAAAAAATCCAAAAAGGAGCAATTCGCCAGTGTCATGAAAAGGTCTTATGCACAATTTGCACCAAATATGTCTGAAATTGTAATGCCGCTGACAGTTATTGGGGATCCATTTGTTTTCTGCTATTAAGTAGACTATTAATGTGAACTGCAAACCCTGACAATAATGAGTAAATTAGACGAAAACCGCTCAACAGTCAGTTTCCCAGTTCTAAACACTATTTCCTCATGAAGGTGTAGTACAGGCAGTGCAAATTCCGCTAAGTATAAGCGTGAGGATCATAGACAAGAACCTAATAATTATTAGTATGTTTTCAAATTATAGTTTTTTTTCCATCACTTACTGCAAAAAAATTCCTGTGCCTGACACTTGGCTAAGCCGTGGGCCCCGATCTTACAACTTTGTTGCTAGTATAACGGTGATTCCCAAAACACGGTAAATAACTTAAAAGCGGCTTAGAACCCGGGTTCAATATAGAGTCAACTAGGTCGGAGCTTGGGTCGGCCGCTATGGTTGATAAAAATAAACAACCCGTCTAATCGTGTCACATACGTCTGGCTTGAACCCATGGCAGGAGTTTCCTTGGTAGTGGTCTTGGATACAACAAGCCGTAGGTTGTTTTCATACGGTAACGGTGAGGTTTTTTCTTAAAGTTGATAAAACTGATTTACCAATAAAGGATTTTGTGAAAATAAGAAAAAAAAGTCGTAAAATTTTGTTGAAATAA